CCCCGCACCCAACCCCACCTTTTTCCATCAGAATTCGCCCTTCAAATCAGGAGCCTGCCTGCCTGCACAAAGGAAAGGCATGATGCAGTGTTAAAATTTTGAGGCACCCCTGAGGAAGCCAGAAGTCACCCTGGTTGAGAAAAGGCTGGTCTAGCAACACATGATGCAAGTAAAGGAAATGCTAGAGCAATGGACCATGGGAATCCATGGCTAATCATAAATGTTTTGTGCTCCAGTGGATCACTGGGAACGCGCACTATAATCTCTGATTTTTGTGTCTAAGGATGTATTTATTTATGTGGTCTGTTTACATTTCTCATCTAGGGAAAAGGAAAGCCTTGAAGTTGGTGGATTAATGGGAACTTTTCCCCCAATTTTTATACATTTGAAATCTGCCTTAATGTGTCTTTGTTGCTTTGGATTGTATTTACAGTACATTTAATGTTTCTGTGCCTTTACCCAATAGTAATTTGAGGGTGTTAATACAGCATACAATATATTTTAGACAATTGTGTGCTTCCAACCTTGTGTCAACAATTTGGGGAAGGCTCCATTCTTCTCCAGAATGACCATGTCCCTGTTCACAATACCAGCTCCATAAATGTATGGTTTGGTGTGGAAGAACTGAACTGAGTGGGAAACGCAGAGCCCCGAGATCAGTCTTATTGTACACCTTTGGCTCATATTCTTCATCAGCCAAGTACATTCAAATTATCTATATTTGCTATTTTGTTAACTTAAACCAATGTATTCCTAAATCACTTTAAGTGCCTTAAAGAGAAATGTTTACCTAAGAATCTCATTGTTATCTCCTTAAGCAAAACTACGTACTGTGAGAGCCCATAGTGTTTATATCCAGTCAGCAAGCCCTTGTACTACAGAGTTGTTTGTGCAATCCCCTTTAGAGCCACCATCAGATTGCAATGTCAGAGGCTACTTGACACTCTGTGTTGGAATTGACATCTCACTCCTAAATCTGAGCCTTGATTAAGACACACAGGTACTATGGGGAACAAAACTAGCCACCCTCCAGAAGGAAGGACAGTGTCAGCACCAATTCAGAGATGATTTGAGGATCTACAGCTGAGCTGACACTACTTGTAGAGATGCACCGATACTGGTTTTTCGGTATCGAGTACGAGTACCGATACTTTGCTTTCGGTACATGCCTATACGGAGTACCAATACCAGTGCTTCCACTGACACGGAGCAGGCTTCCCTGGGCAATCAGGAAGCCGGGCGGTGGGTAATGACATACCGCCCGCTGTCGTGATTGCCTGGGAAGCCGGCTCCATGCTGTTTGGCCAGCTTGATTGTGATTGGCCGGGAAACCGTCTTCCCAGCCAATCAGCAACGAGCAGGCTTCCTGGCTAATTCGGAAGCCAGGCAGTGAGTAATGCAAAACAAATGGCAAACGCACTCATCAATTTGTTACCAGCTCTAAGCAAGGTGCACATGGAAGGGCTTTATACAGTACAACAGCAAAAGGTTTCCCAGCACACTCACCAGCCAGCATGCAAACAAAACTTGTCTCACAGCTAAGGTTAAAAACAGAGGTTTAGTTACACGTCTTCTGCAGAAAATGTGAAAGCCGCACTGCCTCGCCAAGGCACCTCCTATATAGTGCGGTCCTAACTCTAAACTATGAGAGCTTCTCGGCCAATCGGCATGGATTCGGCTTCCCAGCCAATCAGGAAGGCGGGTCATTACTCACCGCCCAGCTTCCTGATCGCACTGGAAGCTGGCTCCATGTTCCCCTACGACACTGCCGGTCAGAGGAAAGTTCCTGTATCAGGGAATGTATCGGAGCATTTGGGCAAGTACGAGTATCGGCAACGATACTAGTATCGGTGCATCCCTACTTTAATGCATTTTTAAGATTTAGCTCCTGAGTTTAGTGTCACTGTAATCGGAGAATAAACTGCTGACGGCTAATCCTTGGTGTACACAGAAGTAAAATCAACTCACAGCGCCACTGTGTTGCTTGACCAAGAATAACACATGTCAGTCCTTCCTAACAAAGTGTGAATTCTAGCACTGTACATCCTGCCATCTAAACTCCATTATAAGCAGGTTATAGACTCAACAGAAATGTGCAGAAAATTATTAGTCTACCACTTAACAAACTTAATTTTGTAAATGATTCTGTAAGTAAGTGCCTTATTTTCTATAAATGATACCAAAGAATTAACTAATTAACCAAAGAAAGAAAATAAAAACAATGGAGTTACAATCCATAAACATGCTCCATGGGACTGGAAATCTATCCCACCCAAATCTCTTCAGGATTTCCAGAGAAACCAACACAACACAGCACAGCACAGTAGTGACAATACCAAATCTTACCTCAAACCTGCTACGACTAGAGTCAGAGGCAGCAGTGCCTTAGATCTTACACTGCAGATATATATCTATGACTGTGTAAACACAGGAATGCGTAGGCACACTCACATACCAGGGAGTGCACTGCTATTTTTATGGCGGAATACAAGAAATAAAGGTATATGTACAGGGTAGTGCTTAAGCACAGGTAACATGTCTAAGTGTTCCCTATAATATAGCAAATCTTTACTTCAGGTCTGCTTTAAAGCAAACTTGTTCTTTGCCTATTAAGGCTCACTGGAAAGCAGACCCCCCCCCCCCCCTCCCAATGCTTGTCCTTAACCTCAACGCACTCACCCGCCTCCTCCTATCACTTGCTGGAGTCTTGAGAAGAAAACAGTATTTTTGGGTATGAAGGAGCACATAAGTGTCTCTATTGCCTCCCACAGTGGACATTTGGGAGCCTTGGTGGGCCCAATCACCAGGTAAGATTGTTGTTTCATATGTCAAACACCAGAAAGTGTTATGTGTCTGAACAGGACCTATGCATACCTACCATAGAAACATGGGAAGTGGAATCCAATTGGTTGCTATGTACAACTCCTTCCTCTAGTTGAGATACATTGGACCTCTAAGCTACCATCATTCTGTATGCCTGAGCCTGTAACCTCACAGCAGATGGACATCTCAGTGAATGGTTACCTACCTAACAAGGTTGTTCTCGCATTCATATCTAAACAAACTGTATTCAATTTACACTGTGTATGTTGAGATGCAATAGTCTCTTCTGTGTGGACAAAGCTTATTAAGAATTCTTTATTGTATGGCTTCATTTTAATTTGCTTATGTTAACTTTTGTGTTTAATGTCAAAAAATGTATGTTCATCATCCGACACTCCCGGCGCAGAGACGGGGTGCCAGCCGGCCGCTGGATAACATCTGCAGAGGCGAGGGCTGTGCTGGGCCCCCTGAGGGCCGAGCCGCCGAGGCCCTGGTGCACCCGCACCGCCTGCACTGCCGGTAGTTCCGCCACTGGTTCTGTATGTACTGTAATAAAACATTAATTCTAAATAAAAAGTTGTCATGGTGAAAGTGCTTTGTGTCCTATTTAAACCGTATTGCCATGAAATACATTTCCAGTAGAGATGCTAGAATTAAAGAGGGGGGCAGGAGGGCTTGTTAACGTAATTACATCTGCCGCGGGCCAATGCTAGTACTTGGTACCAGGAGGAGGGCCAGCAACACAAACAGTTTGGATCCTGATCTTCTTTGCAGGGTTCTGGAACTAGGGGATCCCACACAGCGTGCAGCTTAACTTAAAACACTTGCAGGGTTATTCGCAAAGTTGCCAAAGGCAGCTGAGTGAATAACCAAGACCAAGTGAAGTGAGTCAAGCGCTGCTCGGCTATTCACTCCGGCTCAGAGCAGCTGATTTCAGCCGTACATCGACTGCTTTTGGTCAGAAGAACATGCTCCGCTCCGCATGGTCAGCTGAGCCAAAGTGCAGAAGGACTTCGACTCAACATCTGGATCGGCTGAGCCAAAGCTCCGGCAACTCACTCGCTGCCATTTGCCCCTATTCTCATAGGGGCTGAACGGCAGTGAGTGAATAGCCGAATGCCGCCAGCATTCGGCTTGGCTATTCTGCTCGGTACCTCCATTGTACCGAGCAGAATAGAAAATAGTGAAAAGAAAGGTACAAAAATAAATAAATAATAATTGAGAAATTATTTTTAAAAATATACAAAACAGTCAAATAATAAAAAAAAAGATATTTTAAATGAAATAATCTGTACAGCAGCCCCTTCGGTTTGACTGAACTGAAGGGCTCAGACGGCTAAGGAGAGCTGAAGGCACAGCTGCATCCTTCGGCTCAATAGTAAATAACCCCCTTGGTATAATATCCCTGCTTTACTGTGATCACCATGATTTACCAACCCTAGGTATCATATAATGGGGAACAAAGTAATTCCTGATCCTCCCTATAGAACCCAAAGAACATTTAGGGACTCTGTTTTCTAAAAATAAAGATTTGTTGCACGCATTTCCAGCTGCCAGCTCCATCAGGAGAACCTTTCATAAAAAAAGAGACTCACAATCAATCACTCAATCAATGATTAATGCTTTATTGTGTTTTCTGTTCATGCATATCAGGATCCTTTTTCCACTGAGGACAAGGCAATTCTATGAAAAACTAAAGGGCCTGTTTATAAAGGACTAAACCTATATTTTTACATTTATTTTTTCATAAGAAATACAGTTCAGGGAGCTCGACCTTTCTCTAAAGCTGTTCTGGGCAATATCCACAACCAAATAACCTTGCAAATATATTTCTACATGGACCTTCATTTTGGCCAGAAAATGTAGCTGATCATTCCTGATCATCCTAAACCAGGCGCACGATATTAATAATAATACATAACTTCAATACATTGGGGGAATATTTAGTGACAAAACATTTTGTGGATAGTGAAAATCTTTATAAATAGGCCTGCTAGTTTTATTGCCTTTGCCCTGGACTAAAAACCTTCTCCTCTGGATCCTATTTGGTAATGGTGATCATCCTTTCAGCTGAAATTCCCTTGATCTGCTTGGAAATTAATTCAGCCACAATTTTCTTTTCTCCGGCTTTCTTTGGAGCACAAATGATCTTAGAGCGGAAGATTCCTCCAGGCCTGACGTCTCTGTGCAAAGAGAAAAAATACATTTAGACACACACCATTTATAATGACATCTTCAGTTAGAAGAACACTTCAGTGGAGGGAGTAGAATGTCATAGACTTTTATATAAATAACAGCTTTCCTGCAAAGTTGCTCATTATAACAAAGGAAAAACTCCTGACAGGTATAAAGGCCTAACCATACCTGCAGAAGCTTCAAGTCTTCTTACTAAGCCTAAATCCAGGGCTGTTTTGATTTAGGAAAAGCATTATTGGGATACAGTATTGTTATCGGTATTAGAGTGGGAGTAGAAGAGTAGAGTAGAAGGATTACAACCTCTGCCAGTTGTGTTCAAACTTTACCTCTTCCTGTAATGATACGTTCGCAGAGCTTAGCCCCCAATCCTAACCTACAATAATTACTATCCTTGTCTGCGGACGGCGCCGCGAATGTCAGCAAAATTAGAGAAATGTCACCAGCACACCAGTCCTTTTAAGATAGCAAAAGCTTCATTTATTGAAATTTTTTGGCATATGACCAAACAAGCGCTTTCGGGACCGCACAGGGTCCCTTCATCAGGCCAATGCTAAAGCCTGATGAAGGGACCCTGTGCAGTCCCGAAAGCGCTTGTTTGGTCATATGACAAAAAACTTCAATAAATGAAGCTTTTGCTATCTTAAAAGGACTGGTGTGCTGGTGACATTTCTACAATTTTCCCAATCCTAACCTGCCACACCTCTGTATTGGTCAGAGATGCTGCCTATCACCAGAGGCGTAACTAGAACCTTCAGGGCCCCGGTGGAAGAAACCATAAAGGCCCCCCCCCCTCCAACCCCACGCCACGGCATTGTTAACAGGAAGGCTGCCGAGGTCCCCAGCAAGGGTGGGACCTCAGGAAGCTGCTTGTTTAAAATGTTAGTGCCGATGTTCTGTCGAGAACGCTGACCCAGTATCTGTGTTTATGTACAGACGGGATTAACGAGGAAACCGGCATTTATTTACAAAGTATTAGTTTGTAATTGTTAATTCTGACCGTTGATGATATGCCGTCCATGGCAGGAAATGACAGAATATTATTATCGGTCACAATTAACGATTTAAACGAAATACTTTGTGAATAAATCCCGGTTTCCTCGATAATATGGGTCTGTGTGTAAGCGCAGATGCTGAGGTCGGCAAATTCGACTAGGTCAGCGTTCTCGACAGAACACCGGTATCTGCGTTTAGTATCGGGGCCTTTTCACGAGTATGAGTACTTGTGAAAATGCCCAGTATTAACACTGGTGTATCCGTACTTAAAAATATAATGCAAGTCCCAGCAATACATTATAATAAAAGTAAGGTATGGAGAATACCACCAGCATCCAACCCCCCCCCCTATAATGCATTGCTGGGACTTGTAGTCCTACATAGTTGGTGCTATTCTGCATTGCTGTGTAATCATCATACAGCAATGCAGATTACCACCAGCTGTGCTGGACTACAAGTCCCAGCAACACACACACACTCTCTCTCTCTCTTCCCAGCGCCCCCTCTCACTCCAAACTTACCTTCCCTCTCCTCAGTCTCCTGCAGGCCCATGGCCCTCTTCCTCGTCTTGGCGGCCAGGGGGCGGAGCTAAGAGACGGCCCTCTTAGCTCCGCCCCTATGAGGTGGGGTCAGCTCATTCAACGGGATCAGTGACAGCGTCTCCAGCCCTTTCGCACAGCAGCCCGTACATGCTGCGGGTGGCTGTGCGACAGGGAAGGAGAGGCACAATCGCGGGGGGGCCCTCTACGTCCTTGCTGGGCCCCCCCAAGTGGCAGAACGTTAGGGCCCGGTCGCAATTGCGACCGCTGCGACCCTGGTAGTTCCGCCAGTGCCTATCACATTAAAGGACTGATAACAAGGTCAGGGAGCCAGGCAGCTTGATTAGCATATATGCCGGAATGGCATATAACTTCAGCCTATATTTCTAGATCAACTGATCATTTTGACATTAAGTTTTTAACAAACATAGCCTTGCCTTAGGAATTTTCTTATCATTTTGAATTGCCCAGGCCCGCAGCACTTTCATTTTTGCTCTTTTTAGCTTATTGCATATCCTATTTTTCTAGGCCATCTATTCTATTCCAAAGGTCCCACACACCTCTCAAAGTTCTATGATCTGCAGACCATTTAAAGCAGAGATATACAGGAGACTACCAATGCCTATGTCTACTTCTAACCCTGTGCAAATCTTCACTGACTTGACCACCTAGGTATTTTCCGATGGTGCCTCACTACTCCCACCCTGCAAATATTTCCTCCCTTCATCTTCTTGTGCACCAGTTGGAAGAATTGTGCCCAGACACACCACCGTAGATGATTTTTGTTTCAGCAGTAGTTTTCACTAGGGGTTCTACCACTTATAACAGAGCGACAGGGAGAGAAGAACCCTCCAGTATCATTAAAGAAATTATATACATCTTCTGTAGTGGGCAGCACACAAGCTTATTGGTTAGCAGTTCTGTCTTGCAGTGCTAGGGGTCCCTGGTTCGAATCCCAGTCAGGACACTATCTGCAAGGAGTTTACATGCTCTCCCTGTGCTTGTGTGGGTTTCCCAGTTTCATCCCACACTCCAAAGACATGCTAGAAGGTTAATTGGCTCCTTTCCGAATTGGCCCTGTATGTGTCAACAATAGGGCCCTTAGACTGTAAGCTCCGTGAGGGGAGGGACTGAGGTGAATGTGCACTATGTAAAGCGCTGTGTAAAATGTCAGCGCTATATAAATAACTGTGATAAATTAATACAGATTATCATCATTCTTAGTCCAGACTGTGTCAGACTGACAGAGGCAGTAAATGTTCCATGGATTTGTCACCAAAGATAGCACATCCTAAAGCAGGAAGAAGGGCCAACTGGGACATGCCCATGGATGAATGTGGTCTACAGACTCAGGAAACACCACTAAAGGTGGCAGGTGATAAAAAGCATTGGAGGCTCATCTACTGTGTACTGTATCGGACTGCACTTGGTATTTACATACCCTTGATCAAATTTCTCCAGCTTGAAGATGCCCAGTCCTTCCACATGCAGCTCACATTTCTCTAGGGGGATGTTCAGAGTATTCTTAAATGTTAAAGTACAAGTGAAATCTTCATCAATCTTGGCAGTTTCTGGCATCTTTAAAAAAAAAAACAAAGTTGAAAATATTAATTCACCAACTTCCTGTACTTATAAATGATAAATTACTTTAACAACTTAAGCAAGATGAATTTAAATATTAAAGCTGCTCAATGCAATTACTAGTAGAGATAAGTGCATGCCTAAAACACTGCTTTCTTCTTTATCTCACCCCACAAGGTGAGACCCCCTGAGACCTTTCAGTCTGCTGGAACTCAGGGGGGCTGTGCAGGATCTGTGGTGGGCTTTGCAGGCTGCACAGCCCCCTACAGATCCTGCAAAGCCCCCCACAGATCATGCAGAGACCCCCTGAGACCCTACAGTCTGATGGATCTCAGGGGGGCTGTGCAGGATCTGTGGTGGGCTTTGCAGGCTGCAGAGCCCCCTACGGATCATGTAAAGCCCCCCACATATCCTGCAAAGCCCACCAAAAGGTATTGCACAGCCCACCTGCGACTCTTTGGTGGGCTGTGCAGAACCTATGCTGGGCCCTGCCAGCACAGTCGTCCTCCTACCTGGCACGGTAAACCAAGCCCGAGCCTCGACGACGCCTCCCGCCTCCTCCATCGCGGTCTCTGCTCTTGCCTCCGCCGTTGTAGTCTTGGGCCCCGCCTCAGTCTTCACCCTGCCTCTTCCATCTCGTCCCCCATCTCTTCTATCTCCACCCCCTGCCTCCTGCCGCTCCGTCCCCTGTCTCCTCCTGCTCTCCCGCTGCTTCTTCCCCGTTAACATTAGGCAGCCAAGCTGCCGGTTTCTGTGCATCCCGGATGCCTAAATGTTTTGGGGGGCGGCATTTTTGCCGCCCCCCTGGAATCTGCCGCCCGAGGCAAACGCCTTTTTTGCCTCGCGGCAGATATGCCCCTGAACCCACCACCTGGCTTCCTGATTGGAAAGGAAGCCGGCTCCATGCTCCCCCTGTTACTCCAGATTGAGCATTGCTAACAAATATATTATACATTTAACAAACATGCATATCTTTGTGATTTAAAAAGCTTACCTCCACTTTGAGCGACGGATAAATGAATGGAATCATCAGAAACTCACTGACTTTCTCGTTTTTGTCTTTTGTTTCTACGATGACATTGACTCTGATCATGAGCTCATCCCCCACTAATACCACAGACTTCATGTACAGGTCGGCAGCCACATTAAATGGGACTGATTCAGCTACATTGTGTCCAGTGAAGCAAGTACAAAGAAAAATATAATCAATAAACAAACTTGCATACAGGTAGGTTAAATGCATACTGTACAAAGTCATTCAGCATATAATCCACTATATACATATGTACTGATATAATAAATACAGGTGCAGTATATATATTGGGGTGGGAACTGAAAAAAATAAACACACCCCATCATTATACATGGTGCCCAACATTGACCACGTGGGACTATAATCAAGGTTAAGAGCTCATTCACACCTACCAAGTAGGTGAGATTAGGAATTCCTGTGTCAGGAACTTGTGATTTCCTGCAGAAGGAATCCCTAAATCTGCTCTTTACAAGCAGCAGCTGTCACCTGTTCACAAGTTAATGAACGGGTGAGAGCGGCTGCATTTGAAAGCGTCAGAACGCTGACACACCACATGTAATCTTATATGATAAAATTACATGAAGTTAGGAAAAAATCACTATCCCTGGACGCATGATGCATGCATCCAGGGATAGTGATTGATTGCTAACCGCATTTAATCTATCACATTTGATTACATGCAGTGTGTCAGTGTTCTGCCACTTTCAAATGCAGCCGCTCTCACTCGTTCATTAACTTGAACGGGTGACAGCTGTCACTTGTAAATGGAAGATCTGGAATTCTTGCTTCAGGAATATTGCAAGTTCCTGCTGCAGGAATTCCAAATTGCACCTACTTGGTAGTTGTGAATGAGGGCTAAGAGTTCCAAACCTGAGGAGGAGCAGTAGAGGCTGTTTAGTAGAATAGGCCAATAATACATTTATACTGCACTGCAATCACTGATTGATGGACACAGCTTGACAATAAACATGAATAAGCTTGTAGTCAAAAACTTTTAAGGCCATACAAAGCTTTAATGGAATAAACTTACATATGTTTTATACTGATGTTTTATATTTTTTACTATTTATAATTTGTTTTACGCATAATATATTTAACACATGGCAAATGATTTCTGGAGCACTATTGCTTATCTTAAAACAGAAGCTCCTTGTCTTGAGGCATGCTTTGTGTGATTGAATCCTTGGATGATGAAAGGGAGGAGTCGCTGCGATGAGTAACAGCTCTGCCTCATTCAAGTGTTTGTGTGTTTAAATTACTACTTGAGCTACTGAACCCTGTAAGCATCACTTTTTGATACAAAGCAAATGAGACAAAGGAAAATATGAGAAAATGCAGCTAAGATCGCCATCTGCTGGTTGGATAGAAAACTGCATAATATTCCTATTCAATCTATTATATTACCCTATTTTAAACAATGTATTTAGTATGTTAGTTTGTACAAAACCTCTACATTTTCCACTACATTTTCTCTCTTCAATAGCCGTGCTGTACATGAACTTTGCATAGAGTTGGCACTAAGCTGTTATTTTACCAGGCTGTTTGATACAATAGGAGTTCTCTCCAATGTTATTAATAGGCATTAGATAGTAAGACTGGTATTTTTCATAGAAAAAGTGACAACTTTAAGTGCAGACCTAAGCAGAAGCCTCAGTTGGATGCACACGTCACCTTCCTAAAAGTGAGGCATGGCTGCTGCGACATGCGGCATTATGGAATCCAAGCCAGTTATTCTTTAAAAAGCTTCTGCTTCACATTTTATTGATGTATCTTTATTTGCTTTACAAAGCGACAAATGAAGTGGCTGCCTTGGGTCTGGCGCTTACTGGGGACCTCGCAGGAGCCTTCTTGGGACCCATGGTGCCTCTGCTTACAACGCTTCCGCCGGCAATCACATCTCCCCCTCCTAAGACGACCTTCCGCACATCTTCTCCTCCTGAGATCCATCACACATCTCCTGAGACCATCAGAGTGCGCTATGTACAGGTATGGTGCAGCAAAACTACAATTGAACTCCACAACTACTCTGCTGTATAATGTATTGCTGGGATTTGTAGTCCTCAATAGCTGGCGCCATTCTGCATTGCTGTATAATATATTGCTGAGATTTGTAGTCCTCTATAGCTGATGGTATTCTGCATTGCTGTATAATGTTTTGCTGAGATTTGTACTCCACTATAGCTGGTAGTATTCTACATTGCTATATAATGTATTGCTGAGATTTGTAGTCAATCTACCGTCTGGGGTCTTTGGTAGAACTACCGGGGTTGCAGAGGTTGCAGCTGCGACTGGGCTCTGGCACTGCACCACTGTCCTAAAATTATTAGTCTGTATTGTTTTTGGAAAAACTGTCACTTGGCGCTAAAAGAGCATATTGGTAATTGGTATCGTCGAGTACTTGAGGAAAAGTACCAAAAATGGTATCCGTGCATCCCTAGTTTATTACTTGTAGAATAGTTTGATTCTCTCAAATAAAACAACAGGACACCAAATCCTAATTTAATATGATTAGCATTTGAAACAGCAGTTGCCTATTTATGTACTGTAGTAACAGAAGCAGGAGGGGTAGCAGGGGACTGGGTTGCTGATAAATGTCATCCTTCAAATGTGGGGCCCCTACACAAATGCCTAAAGCCAAATCCAACCCTAATGATATATCATGCCAGATAATGTTAAAATACATCTATTAGAGGGATAAGTTACATATTTTCAGTACCGTGTTTGCCTGCCACTTCCACAGTCTGGTTGGTGCATGCCAGTGATGCAATGACTTTGCCTGTATAGGTCTGCAATTGACATCCAGCATTAACAGTGACTGTCTTTGCCTCATCTGATTCATTTTCAAGCACAATATTCAGAGACAAAGTGTTCCCTGGCAGTAATTCATTGTCTCCTGTGATCTGTAACTTAATGCCAGGTGGCGGAGGTGGTGGAGGAGCAGCAAACACCATACAGATGTCTGACTTCAGGTGGGAGCAGGCAGTTCCAAATGCTGTCCTCTCTTCTTCTGAGCCTGAACAAAAGATATACATACATTTTCAGATAATGATATTTAAGCATAACATACTTACATGATATAATAGTTGGCTCGGGTAACAGAGCTCCTTGACGTAATGCCAAGCCTATCTAAGAAGTTAGATGAATTGGATGTCTGACATGGTGGCAGACTGGAACCAAATCAACAGCCCCGGCACCTACAACTGGGTTACTTTTTTATACTGAACCAAACCTTTCTAATGTCATCTGTTTTTCAGTATGCTTTGCTTCATGCCTCACTGTTTTGTAAATCTGTTGTAAAGTTTCCTACCTGGAGATCCTTCCGGTAATGGCACTCTCTGTTGCAGGCCCACTATGCTAAGCCCCTGCCTCGCAATTAGCAGCATCATTCTCAGCCTACCGAGTACACTTCTTCAACGGGCTGTTGAGCTGCCTATCAGGTCTATTAAATAGGCAACCCAATGGCCATCTCAAGAACCTGAATGGCTGGCTTCTGCTAATTGTGAGGCAGTGGCTTAGCATCGCCTGCTGTTAGTGGCAGGATCTTAAAGTATGAAGCTTTGCAATAGATTCCCCAAAAAGTGAATAAAAAATGTTTAATACAAAGAGACATGATTTTAAAAAGATTGAAAAATAAATTTAAGGTTTATGTACACTTTAATAAATTGGCCCCATGACATTGTATCACAGCAAGAAAGGACAAAAGTCAAACTGACATTTCATGTTGTTTTTTGTCTTATGAATGTAACTGTAATCGATAGTTACATAGTTTCATAGTATTTAAGGTTGAATAAAGACACAGGTCCATCAAGTTCAACCTTTGTGCGTGCATGTGTGTGTGTGTGTGTGTGTGTGTGTGTATATGTGTCCCTGTATGGTCTTAGTTTTTAAGAGTACCTGTATCCCTGTATGTTACAGTCTCTTATGAAGGTATCTTATTTATTTTTTAATTAATCAATATTCTCTGCTGATACCACTGCTTGTGGCAGAGAGTTCCAAAATTGCTTGGTAGCATCAGTACTTTCATTTTTTCAGCATGGAGCATGGAAATAGTGAACTTGTGCTCCATTCATGCCACTAATACTGATACTGTCTGTAATATTTCAGTGCAAATGTATCACCCCAAGAAAAACCCCAGAGTTATAACAATCAATGTACAAAATTATGAACGTCAACATTTTTTAAAATAATAGCTGAATCCACAAAAAACGGTATTTATGTTTTACTGCATTTATTAGAGAGGTTGGTGTGTTTTTGTGTACTCACAAAAACACACAATGAGAACAAAGAGGAACTGACCAAAAAAAAAAAATCACATCTAGTTTTTAAGGCTAACATCCCAAAAACATTTGTTAATGTTTGTGCTTCTAAATATTCTGTCGCCCAAATCTGTAAAAATTGCAGGTATTAGTTTACAGGCGTGTAAACCCTAAAAAATCATTTTTACTTGCTCCCCTTTGGTACGCTAAATATACCTTTTAAAGTGTTTCATTGAATTTGCCCACCACATGCTAAGAAATTCAGAGCTGGGTTGTCAGTTCAAAGAACAAGGTAGAAACAATGATTCTTCTGTACTTGCAGGGTGTTTAAAGGGATAAAACATTGGGAAATGTGCCTGTATTTCAATGGTGGGCTAAACATGCCCTTTTTTTTTGTCTTAAGAATCACTTAAAGAATAGGTCCTGTGCAGACTTAGGCCCCGTTCACATTGAGCGATTTATCGCGCGGTAATTCCCGCGATATCGCTCTCCAATGCTTCTCAATGTGGCAAAGGGTCCTGCTGTCGCGGGTCGTGTGTCGCTACAGCAGGACCCTTTTTGGAGCGGATTTAGCCACGATTCAAGCTTGCTCAATGCAAGCATTTGCGCGATTTTGCCCGACAAATCGCGCAATATCGCGCAAAATGCAAATCGCGCGACGAACGCGCGATTTGCGAACTGCTCAATGTGAATGGGGCCTTACACAGTATAAATTATTTATCAATATTTTTTATTTAATTGCATATATTATAAAAATGTATAATATCAATATATCAATAAAAAAGCAAAAAACAAACACTGCTCTAGGTTAGTCCACACTCAAAGTAAAACCCCTAGTTTTACTTTGAGTGTGGACTAGCCTAGAGCAGTGTTTGTTTTTTGCTTTTTTATTGATATAGTGATATTATATATTTATATATAAGTTAAATAAAAATCTTTCACAACCAGAGCTTGTATTCAAAAAGCAGATTGGACAGTAAATTCGTATTTCTGCTTTATTAAGATGTCAGCATAAAACACTGGAAAATAGAAGCTCTAATACATTTTACATTCTACACATCGCTTTCTCAAAAATCCTTTCCTTTCAGTTAATAGTTTTAGGTTTTACTTATATGTTTGTGAGGCTTCCCATTTTAGCACCTAATAATCCATTAGTATCACCTAGTTTTATCCTATCTTTAGTTATACAGTATATACACAGGGTGGTTGAATTAGATGCACTAAATCTGGATCAGATCCCCCAAAAATCTGGGCTTAAGCATTGTTAACTATACTGAATACATTAAAGGATATTACTCTTCTCTAGAATCAGGGCCGGTGCTAGGATTCGTGCCTACACAGGCAAGGTGCATTTTTGCGCCCCCCTCCACGACCCCCTGTAAAAACAGGGCATTTTGACAAGTACTTGTACTTGTCAAAATGCCCCCAATGTTTGCGCTATGTTTTTTTTTTTTCATATTTTATAATGTTGGTACATTATAACTTTCCATGTGCACCATGGAGAGTTAAAGTTTTGGACAGAATAGCGGACAGTAAGAACCTCCTTCAGGTTTTTATAGATGTTGTTGTCTTTGTCCCCACGGAGGAGATTTACCTCCCTATTTGCCCTGATGACAGATGTCGCCTGGACATACAGTAATGGACAATCCAACATTTTACATTCTTCTGAAGGGGACACTTGTTATGGTGATAACTGCCTAATAGGAGAACTCCCCTCACTTCAGAGAGATTTCTTCTCACTTCCTGATGAATATCTGTGTTTCGCTTTGGACTACAAATCCCAAATTCACAACATTAAAGAGCGATTTTTCTTACCCTCTCTGTGCTTGTATTGTAATGTAATATCTTCCTTAAAGTTCTTATTAATCGCCTTAGTACTGATGAATTTCCCAATGTTCTTTTGCTCTTCCTTGACCTTGGTGAATTCCTCCTCACCATCTGTCCAGGTCACCAGCCATTGGATCTTGTCTGCATTTACTTCAGCAAACAGAAACTTGCCGTCATACGGCAGATACACAACTCCTTCTTTAATGGCTTTCAAAGAACAAGGACCACACTGGAAGATACCTGCAAGTCAAAGAGAAAGTATGCAGTATACATGCTAATAGAAGGCAAAAAGGGAGAGCTTTCAAACAATAAACAGAACCAACTTCATCTTACTGTAATATACAGATAGTTATTTAACAAAGTTATATAAAAATATAAGATGAAGAATACACTATAGGTTCAATGTCATTGCTATCTGCTGCCTTGACTTGGTTAGGCTATGCTTAAAGTGACGTTAAAGGATACACCTCCCCCCCCCATGTTAGTGTAAGGACTTACCTTAAGGCCTCATTCACACACAACGCAAGCAAAATTGTATATTGCGTATATACGCGTCTATGCGCGTATATACGAGCGTCTATGCGTGCATTATTTGCATTCCCAATGGAAATTTTAATGAACTGTAGGCATATACGCGCATAGACGCTCGTATATACGCGCAAACATGCGTAAAATACGCAGAAATACGCTGCCCGGACGCATCTCTGTCCCATTCTGTTTTTGCGCATTTATACGCTGGGCAAATATACGGCTCCATACGCGGCTATGTGTATGGAGCCATTTATTTGTATATGTTGCATATGGAAGTATACGGGCGGCAATGTGAATGAGGCCTAAATGATGCCTCTTGATCTGATGCGGGTCTCCGATACCGCGCTGACTCCTCTGTGTTAGCTGGCACTTCCTGTCCCACGGAGTCTGTGCGGGTGCCCACTGCTCCATAGACTTACCTTGTCTCTCTCCTGTAGATATATGCAAAAAACACTGGGGGTTTAATAATCCTTTAAAGTGGACTTTTACCCCCTTTGACTAAAAATCACACTAGCATACAGCTCTGCATGCTGATATGAAATCATTTTACATTCATTAGCTAAACAAACATATTTTTATTTTACCTACAATTTTTTTTCCCACTTCCTGTTCTGCTTTGGCACAAATTATGTAATCATGCCCAAGCATTGCATCCTGTGAAGGTTACATCCGCAGAGCATTGCTGGGAAATCTCATCTGTAATCTCATGAGATCTCAGGGAAAGGCATTTTCCTCCCCTGAGATGATGTGCATGATCACATGTCCTAGACACATTTGCCAGAGTTCCAGGAAGTAAGATGAGAGCTAGTAATCTGCCCTTAGTAAACATGGGCACTGTCAGAATACTGGGGAAGAAAAGAAAAATAAGGGATGCAAAGAATACAAAGCCTGCAATGATCTAGAAGTATGTGTTTGTACATTGTCATTACGAGACATTTCTAAAGGTGCCTTTGTTGTTATTTTAAAGATATGGGTACAGTTCCTCTTTAAAGCTGAAGTTTAATCTGCTTATATGTTGCCTTTCTTGGTTTCTCCTTTCCCCCTAATTAACTTGCTCATTAATTTTTTTTAACAAAACTTCTCTGTTTCAATGGCATACCTTATTTTAGATGCATTTGTGCTTCTCTATGCAATGCATGCAGGTTATAGCTGGTGGGAGGGGATGGCAGCATGCTGTACATAGCTTCCTGAAAGCAATACAGCACCCTGTCTCAGTACTCCTCTAAGTAGTCCTGATGCAAGCAGCGGACTGGCTCTTGAGAGGAGTAATGCATCCATCCATATCATGATAGATGTCATTTTGGGGGAGTGGGTGTTCTTAGGCAGACTGTATTTGCATGCAGACTTTCCTAGGTAATGCCCACATGTGATAATGAGCCCCCATAATTGAAAGGACTCAAATCAAATTAAGGGGTAAGCCATAGACAGTAAAGCTGGAAAGGAAAGGATTGGATGATGCTAGATGTTATCTAGCAAGGTAATGAGGCAAGCTCTATATGACTTGCTATAGCGTCAAATGCACCCTGTGAGAAGCTTAAAGTGGGCTGCAAAATGATAGTAAGCAATATCATTACAAGAGAGGAGCCGGTACAACTGTGCAAAACTGAAGGTAAGGCTGGAGTTATCGCTTCTCGGCCTTTTGGCTAAGAACAAGTGTAGTATCTGTTCTTATCAGTTTTCGGTGGGGAAAAGAACCGTCCTTGCGGGGGATGGTTACTGAGTACTCGCTGGAGTGAAAGAGCGTGTGGGGCGGTTTCCTGTGAGAGGGGAACCGCTCAGTACATGGCTTTCTGACTGAACAGATGCGAAGCTTGGTCTGGCTCGAGGGTTCGGGGGCGGCAGATGCCCGTGGTGTTGTGCCCCCTGGGGGTGGCGTCCCAGGGGTGCTCAGAAAGTCACTTGGGTATGGGACCCCACATGATTCACTGTAGCACTCGGTCACACACCATATTGCTTTTTCTGCACAACGCCTCTTGGTCAGGCCTTATGGCTAGTCCGGGGCAATATTTTTGCACTCCGGCCCCTAAGGCCTGTCAGCGTGGTGCACTGGCACTTTAGATTTATTTATGCACTCTATGCACGATTGGCACTTTTTTATTTTAAATTTGACCCACAGATGCGAAAGGTGCAGGTTTCTTCGGGGCCTATTCCTGACGCTGGGAGGAGATTCTGTGCCTCGTAGGGGGTTCTCTGTCTCCTCCCACCCAGGAAGGGGGTCTCTCTTCGGGAGAGCCCCCTTGCCAAGTACTGTGGGGGACCTGTTTCGGCAGGTCCCCAAAGGAAATGGACCATCGGCCTTCGGGTTGGTGGTCCAAAGTATCTCAACCCCTGTCAGGAGCCTTGCACCCCGGGGGGTCGGGAAGTAGGTCCCTTCTTTGGAAGGACCTTGCACCCTTGTGCACGTTTTTGTGTGCTGTGATTTCACGGTTCACTTTTTTTGTTCACAGGGGGAAGTTTGTTTAGATGCACGTCCACAGGCTTCAAATAAAATGGAGTTCAGATTTAGGCAGAATTAGCTACATGAGTCAGAAATAGCCTTTAGCTCCATCTTGACAGTTTAAAAAACAGGCAGATATATGACCAGTACAGCATGCATGTTGAAATAGTGATTGCTTCCTTGTAATTCTACACCTTACCTTGACTTTTTTCTTGGGGGGTGGCATCAATTGCCTGCCAGCCATCATGTCCATTAGGTAAATCAGGTCTTTTCATCCACACGTCATTCCACACGTGAAAGTTCCTAAGGCAATATGGAAGTATGGAACAGTCAAGACCATATCATGAAATAAACAAAACAACGTAATGTATTTAAACTTCAGTCGCATACAGCAATATCCCATAGAAAAGTCCCTACAGCATAGAGCTTAAAAGAGAACTATGGGGTAACCTTTTTTTCCAGTGTTCTCTTTAGGGTCACTGGAGGACATATACTAAGGTCCTCCTGTGACCCAAAACTCAGTATATAGCGAGCTATTGCCTGCCATATGCTGAAAGCGCAAAAGCCGTGACGGATCCTGAGAATGCTGTCCAGATCCACACAGCTGGCTGATTGATAGCGGGCTCTGCCTATCTAGAGGCAGGGCCAGCTGTGCCCGCCCCCCTCCCCCGTCTTTTCCTCCAGTCAGCTCTGGATGCCCAGCAAAGATTTCTTAAAAGTTTCCCCCAAGGACTTACAATCATCATGTTTCTGAACAGCTCCATCTCTCTCACCTCGGCTTCCCTGAACTTCCTGTCCAGCACAAGATCACAAGGGAGAGCTCAGTCTCCAGCAGCTGTTCATCTACTAGCTTGGAGAAGGGAGGAAAATCTACTAGCTGTCCATCTACTAGCTTAAGAAAGGGGAGCAGGGGAAGGGGAGTGGCTTGCCCTGCTGTGTCTGTGTGTTTGTGGAGACACACACACACACACAGCTTACTAGCACACACACAAGGGGGGATCCATAGGACCCTGCAAGGGAAAGGAGCCACTCTAAAACAGGATATCAGGGTCAGTGCTAAGGGGACCAGCTGATTCTGCAGGAAACTAAAACTTTGAGACATCATAAAGCAGCCTCCATTGTAAGTGATTTAATTAGCATTTGAAATAACTTTTTGACTTTGATATCACTTTAAGAAAACATATAGGTAAAATAAAGTAGAAAATCTTTTAGGACCAGTACTGAACCATGGAGATTGTCATTAAAGAAGCCACTTACCATACAGAATCACTGGAGATATCGTCTATTGTTTCTCCTTGTTCATTCATATAATAATCAATTTTCAGATTTTCTTCAGTGTCATGAGCGGAGTTAAAATTAGTGACACTTCTTGCTGGGATTCCTATGCATCGCATAACTAGAGCAGGGAAACAGATTTTAGTGAAGTAGTAAAGAAGAGGTAAATCTATACTGAACAACACTGGTAATACACACTTATATATTGTTTGAAGTATGATCTGTTACAGCAAAAATGTTACCAATAACTGTGTAGTGTAAGCAGGGCCATCCCTATAATGAGTATCTCTTATATCTCTTTGAGTAGCGTAAGGGGGGCAGCAGGCAGAGCAGCATGGCTGCACATTGTTTGTAGTGTCCCTGCAGCCCTGGGGCTTCCTGAGCTTCCCGTAGCTGTTACCTGATGACACTCCGCCATGATTTCTTCACTCATGCGTGTGACGTCATTGCAGACCTGCGACGCCATCGTGTAGGTGCGTGATGACGTCCCGCGCTGTTACCTACTGGTGGCCATCTTGATGATGGACGCCGGCAGAGAGAGGAGGGGACACGTTCACCCGGCGGGATAAGGTACTGTATGCCGCTGGGTCCCCTCCTCTCTCGTGCAACTGTCTAGTTCTCGGTCCATGACCGAGTGCCCGACTTTTCAGAAGGGGTGACACCAAAATGACTGTCAGTCATTTTGGTGCCACCCCTCCAATGGTGTCACTCGGGTGCAGGCCGCACCCCCCACTTCCCCCTAGTGACGCCACTGCTGCGGCCCCCTTTTTGGTCAGAGCGTTCCAAGTTTCTAAGAGCCGGATGGGGAGATGTGTAAAGGCCATACACATTTCTCTGCCTAGCTCTTGTCTTGTCCCATCCAGCTCCTGGCAACCAGTGGCATCACAGAAAGTGAGAGGAAATCCCTGGTGGTCAGCAGGGTCACCAGGTGTAGTGTCCCCATTGGAAGATTTCCCATCTATTCTTATTCTGATGACAACTAAAAATTTGGGATTTTCTTTCACTTTCAATGATAAAGGTCACGAGAACAAAAACTGTAGAAGAATCTCTCTAATGAGGGACAGAGACAACAATAAAAACCTGACAGGTGTTCTATTCTCTCTGCACTCTATCCAAAACTAAACAAAATATCTTGACATCAGTTGCACTTTATATATCACCTTTGGGGGGACTAATGCTTTATCTATGCAAATTAATATTAGACCTTTTAGATCAAATTGACAGCCTAAATAATTTTTTTTAAACATAGCAGTCAAACAATATTGACTGCTATTAATAAGCATGCAGTTGGGCAGAAGACTGTTTTTGTTACACACCTGTTGTTAGAACTCCAGAAAACACCCAGCATTGTCCAAACCTAACAGGCCTCTTGGTTTTGTGGTACTGCTGTAGGATGGCGCTACTTCCTGTCCAGGCAGTGGGGGAAATACCTGCATCATACATGCCTGACCAATTACCAGTCAGGACTCCATTATCATCATTGGAATTCACCTTCAGGGAAAATATATTTCCTATTACTCAAAGAATTCAAAATCAGTATTCAGTGTCACATTAGAAGGCAGTATAAAGACCAGTGGTGATCTTCATAACACACAGGTAGTCTTGGTCACTGAAGAAGACCATACAGCAGCAATGACAGTAGGAAATCTAACTGGATGCTATGGTTGCTGAGCTTTATTTTCATTGTGTTTATTTGCGCTACCTTATTGATTAAGTATATGTAAACCCTAACAATGAACTTCTCTTATTTGCTTTTGCTTCGTCCTAAATCCAGTGCTGTCCTGTATTACATGGACTCTGCAGTATTATCTGCTGTGCTCAGTTTCCCTCTGTGAACTACAGAACGTAATACATGCTGTGCATATGAAGAGAATGAGAGGTGCATATGAAGAGAATGATAGCCCTAACCTATTTCCTCTTCTAGGGTGACAACCATGCTCCTCCTCCATAAAAACGCTACATTAAATGAGCGTTGCCACCCTAGGACAGGCAGCATGTTACTGGCAGGATCATTAGATAGAAATATATTTTTAAAAAGCCTCAAAAAGTGAGTGGTCAGCATGAAAAATAACCAAATCATTAAAACAGTAATACATACAGAATCCTGCTGGCTCTAGCTCTGCAGCACAATATTTTTTTTTTGTGTTCTTTAAACAACAGATGCCTATCTTCTTTTCTGCCACCTACAGGCCTGGACCGATTGTGCCTAAGGGTAAATCTGGCATAGCTCAAGGCTATACTGCCATGATGACTTTCTGACTTCTCTCCTGTTATAAATTTACAAATAGATTCATATACCCAGGAGCTTTTTGCTTTGAGTCCAATAGATATTCTGATAGTGTTGAAGCCCTGATGAAGGGATTTTTTTGGCTCCTGAGGGCCCATATACACCACCTCCAGATCAGACCAGATTGTTTCTGGACCTAAAATGCATCCCAATGTTTCCCTATGCTCTTCTTGGCCTCAGTTCCCCCCATTGCAGCTAGCTCCAGACCAGACCAGAAAAATACTGCATGTCACATTTTGTCTGGTTTGGAACGCACCGGAACGCAACGCAATTTGAAAAAAAAAATTTGGGGGCTGGTTTGGATGATCTCATCACTCCTGGACTTCCTGTTTCTGTGGAGAGAGAGATTTTTGAAGATAGGAACCATGATGGCTGAAGTGGACACCGAATTATTTGTAGAACTTGTGGAAGCCTGCCCAGAGCTCTATGATCCGAGGCATGAGCAATATAAAAACAATAATAGGAAGATGGACAAGTGGAGAGGCATTGCTGCCCAGGTTGTCCCTGGCTATGATCATTTGAGCAGTTCTGAAAAGAAAAGATGTGGTAAGTTCATGTCTCTTATGTGCAAGCATTGTGCTGCTCTTTTCCTGGCTATCTGTAGTTCTTGCAGAGGTCCCCAAGCAAGACCTAAAATTAAACACGTCACAAACGCTGCAAAAACGCAGCAAAATGCAACGCAGTGCGTTCCAGATCTGGTGCAGATCTGGTCCAGAAAATAGTGTGAACCTGCCCTGAAACACGTTGGATGCTTCATGCATTCCTATTTGTGGAAATAATAAAAGCCTTTAGACTATTGAGAAGTTTACATGTAGACTTCTCAGCTTGGGTAACACTACCTCCTGGGGATCCCCAGATTTGTGTAGAGCTGCTGTACCCATGCCAGTAGCCTCGATCGATGATATTTTTCCACTGGCCGAGGATCTGTGTCCAGCACCTCATTTAAAACTTTTCATAAAACTTACTAAAGCAGAGAACTTTCTTGACAGAATGACCGGATCCCTTTTCGCTGAAGCTTTGAGATCACTGTGTTCAAGAAGATACATGCAGCAGTCCAGTACATCAACTTCATGCTAGAAATAAAGAAAGAAAACTATTAGCTATTGTATTAACTATTACATCTCATTTTAATATTGTGGAGGCAGTTCCATTTTTATCTTCATTCAATATCATAACTATTAGGTATGAAGGAACTTAAAGTGTCCAGCTCCTGGCATGGAAATTCGGACCTAGATTTGTTGTCTGGCAGGGGTGCATGGACCACTAACCTATCTGCAGAGAAATACAAAGCTTTGTGTCCCTAGTTTCATCATATGGCTTCAATTATAATGTGTTCTCCCTCAAGGGGAAATACATTTTTATGAGTGTCTTGTTAATATTTTTCTGTCAAGGCTAAAATAGTAGTTTTTTAAAAAAATGATACACACATTATAATATTTATAGAATTTGCTGATATTTCAATTAAAATGTTTCCTTATATATGTGACCTTGATATTAGCATGGAATAGTTTAATGTGCAAATGTCACCTGACAGCACTGCTACTCATTTATAGTTAAATTTCACAGAATGTAACAAAGGATTCTTACCTGTCCAAAATTCCAGGGCCTGGCAGTAATTTTAGTGCTTGAGCCCACATAGATGTATCCTGTGTCATTTAGGACATATTCCATCCTTTCCTCCTCACCTGGCATGTATACGGCATCATCTGATAACATAAAATATATTTTTTCATATTTGTAGCTTGTATCATATTTCTTAGTTCCATTCACACTATGAGAGTGAGCATTTTCAGGCATTTTTTAAGCTTTTTTATACATAGTTATGTGTTTTTTTCCCCTAAGTGTTGTTGTTTGAGACAAAGCAAAGCCAGTTTCTAGGAGGAGGAGATATCTACTAGGAGGAGGAGATATCTAATAGGAGGAGGAGATAGTTACTAGGAGGAGATGTCTACTAGGAGGAGGAGATATCTAATAGGAGGAGGAGATAGTTACTAGGAGGAGGAGATATCTAATAGGAGGTGGAGATAGTTACTAGGAGGAGATATCTACTAGGAGGAGGAGATATCTAAAAGAAGAAGATTGTTACTAGGAGGAGGAGATAGTTACTAGGAGGAGGAGATATCTAAAAGAAGGAGATTGTTACTAGGAGCAGGAGATATCTACTAGGAGGAAGAGATAGTTACTAGATGGAGGAGATATCTACTAGGAGGAGGAGATAGTTAATAGGAAGAGGAGATATCTACTAGGAGAAATAGATAGTTACTAGGAGGAGGAGATATCTACTAGGAGAAGGAGATAGTTACTAGGTGAAGGAGATAGTTATTAGGCACAAAGTTCTGCAGAAAATGTGCATTACTAGCATTTTCAAGCACTCCATTTGAAGTCTATGGGGCCAAAAGCCTGTGATTTTGTCTCAACAAAGATTATGTTACAAATTTTTCGAGTTACAAGCGACATAACACTCAGACGCGAACAAGCACCAATAAAAAACATAGGATTCTTCATGCTGAGAGGTGTTGTGCTTTAGAGAATGCATGACAAAATGCTCAGGTCTTAAGGGGCTAATAGTGTAAGCTTTCTAATGCATTAAGTAGATCATCAATTGCAGTAGACATGGATATAAATATAAAAAGAGGAACAAGCCCCCTGCTGAGTCTTACACTTACAAAGCAAGGGGCATGTTGGACACCGCAGAGAAAATGCTGGTTCCTAACAGAAAATAGTGGTGCTTAAATAAAACTCTTTCCACAAAAAACGATTTATCATTTTGCTCTATCCTCAATGTATCTATATTATTATTTTTTTTACATTAAACTTCAGGCTTTAACCTAATCTCTTATTTTGATGCACTACACAAAGTTAAATCCTTGACATCCACTTCCATCAAGAAAAGTATTAGGTCATCTTGCTCTTGAATCCATGCCCTACTTGGCCATCCAGTTATAGGATCCATGTCATACATGGCCAACCTGCTCTTGGATCCAAGCCATACTTGGCCATCCTGCTCATGAATCCATGCACTACTTTGTCATCAGATAAATTCAAGATCCATTCAGATCCATTGAATACTTGGCCATCCAGCTGTTGGATCCATGTCATACATGGCTTTTCTGCTCTTAGATCTATGCCATACTTGGGCATCCTGCTCATGAATCCATGTCCTACTTGGCCATCCTGCTCTCAGATCCATTGCATACTTGGCCATCCAGCTGTTGGATCCATGTCATACATGGCCATTCTGCTCTTGGATCCATGCCATACTTGGCCATCCAGCTCTTGGATCCATGCCATACTTGGCCATCCTGCTCTCAGATACATCCCATAGTTGGCCATCCTGCTTTTGGATCCATACTATGTTTGGCCATCCTGTTCTCAGAATCATGGCAAACTTAACCAGACTCCACAAAAAACAAGCTGTTTTGCGTGTCTGGCATGAAAAGTAACCACCTCATTAAAACAGTAATACCTACAGTAACCTGCAGGCTTCAGGTCTGTGGCACAAGCTGTTTTATTTGTCTTCCCTAAACAAGCCCCCATATGAGAGAGCAGACACCAGATACAAAGTGAGATATTTGAAATCACAAGCTCTAGGTGACCTGTCCTGCTGGCTTTTCTCTATAGAAACCATTGGTGTTTTTTGTTACTGAAAATGTGTTGCAAAAACGTTTCTATGTTACAAGCTTGAAAAAAAAAAAAAGTTGTGCAATATGCAGATGGTTCAGCACATAGACCTGAACTAAATTTGAAACTTTTTCAACAGACTTGGCTGACCAAGTCCCTCACAGAACATGTAACCCAAAAATCTATTATTAAAAAAATGTTACCCAAGATCTTAATAAGGTTCTTACATATATAGCTCTACTACATTTTTATAATATATTGTAGAAAAGGTGTGTTTGACATCCCAGGCTATTAATGTTATGTAGGTGGTCCCAATGTATAACCTACTATTATGTTCAAGTATGTGTCCCTAACATTCAGCCAGTAAAATAATTACCTTCACACCAAGGGTTGAACAGGATGTAAATGGAGCAATCCCCTGCCATGTATACAATGCCTCTTCCTGTTATTACACTCAGCTGGTATTTTCCAATGATGGCATTGGCAGGACTATTGACTGAGATTGTATACTTCAAAAGAAAATATATGGGTTATTTTTTTCACAACAAACAGGGTGTTCACATCCTAGTTTGCCCATGCACTGAGAGGTAGGGCTATGTCATACTGGCATTTCTGTAATTGGCAACAACTCACAAAGAGACCTAATGAGCAACTTGCAAGACACATAGGGGCACTTTAATTCAGTGATAGTTATAAAATGGTTGCCAAGCATTAATTTTCTTTCAAATACCACATTAGGAAATGTTATTGAAATAAGCTGTCTATGGTTAAAGCTTGGGAAATTCCCGCGCACCAGTTCCCACCATGACATTAGTTAATTACACAATGTTGGGAACATTGTGAAATTATGTGTTCTTAATAAATCTTGGTAACACATTTTTGAAGTGCTGCTGATTTCCATTTTACTGAGTTTGCATAGCACCATTCATTGCAGTCATCATGAGCACCCCTCTGAATCACATCTGGTCCAGCACCATCAAGATATGTGAAATATTTGCTGATCCTTTCCTGTAATATTCAAACATCGCAGTGATCACTACTGATCACTACGATGTCTGTAAATAATTGAGGGCATAGCATTCGGATACTGTATCCCCAATTATGAATGAACAGGACGTGATCTACATCATTCATGATTCTGGACACAGTATCTGTTTTCATATCTCCTCTATTTATGAATGAACAGGAAGTCTCTGTACAGAGTGATTTCTGTTCATTCAATGCTGGGGCTGCAGAAAAAGAGATTGTGTCCTCAATCTCTTTTTTTTATTTCAAAAGAGAAATATCAGGGGTTTGTTTAGACCCCTCACATTTCCCCAAAGCGCCTAACAATAAAGTAATGAATAAATAAATAAAATAATAGGAAAATTATCATTAGCTGCAGCCCGAGACGTGTGCCATTTCAGATCTAACATGAAAATAAATCAACTAAAGAACAGAAGAGGGAAATTTCCCAGTTAGGACAACTGTTTTGCTGACAACTTCCAAAGGAGGGGTTTTCACTTGTTTTGGGGACATTTCCAATCAGTTGTGTCCCCAGGATAGGAAATAAAGAGACAATTCACAAAGTGAAATAGGGGTTCTGAACCTTCTCCCTATATCCAAGACTAAAACAAAAAAACACCTTAACACCTTGGTGCTGGCTCTTGCCAGCCCTTTAAAAGGTTTGGAGGCAGAGGTGGGCTTCCCGATCATGTGATCACTTTGATTGGCTGGCACAGTGGTCACCCGATTAGGAGCCCATCATTAACGGTCACTGTTGCTGACCAAGTACACCCCTTCATGGAAATGGTATTCCCTGATGGCAGTGGCCTCCTTCAGCAGGATAATGCGCACCGCATTGCACCGCACCACACTGCAAAAAAAGGGCTGTTTTGTTGGCAAGCAACCTACACCTACAATTTTAGGTGGCTGGTCTTAATGTTATGACTGACTGGGTGTGTGTGTGTGTATATATATATACACATACATGTATATATATTTTTTTTGTATATACAGACTGTATGTATAAAACTGTTTTCTTTCCAATTAATATTTTATATTTGTCATGTATTGCTAGGCTTATTACTAGTCTGGTATGTCACATTACTATGAGTTATCTAAGAAGAGAGACACTCAAAAGAGGGTGCAGCAGCGAAGGTTTGCTGCATGTAAGCGGGCTGTGGTGAACTCATTGAGTTCTATAAATAGCAAGCTTCTTTTAGCATAGCTAAGAGTGACACAATGCTTCACATGTGAAAAGGAGACCAGAGCTCCACCTGCTGGCTGAAAAGAAAACAGCATGATTTTAATACGAAAAAATTAAACATTAACGAAAATATGAACAAACCCACTATGCATTTTCCTGTAAAAGTTTTTAGCTAAAAATCTTATGTAATTAATAAACACCTTAAAATCTAGAGATAATAATATTGAATAGAGGGGAACAAAATATACATTACACTGGCTTTCAGGAGCATTTTAAATTACTGGAACGTGAAATCTTACAGGAGTGCTAACGTTCACCTATAACTGAAGCGCCAAAATTTTTTTTTATGAAACCTGTCACAATTACCTCGTTGCCATGGCACTCGCAGATTGTAGCACTCCAGTCTTTTCTCAGGTCAGCTTGATTTACGTCAACTTGTACAAGTGATCCATTTGCTTTTGAAGGACGGGAGCCTATAAGATAAAAACCATTTGCATGATAAAAAATGATGTTCAACAATTCAGTCATATTCTATTTTTTTATTTCTTTGTAGATAAAAGATAAAATCCAATATAAATTGTACACTAACACGTAAAATGCAACAGTCTTGCCATACTTGTATTAAATATTGATCTCTGAAATAGATACTGTACATCTAGGACTATCTGAAAATAGATAGTTAAGAACTGAAGCCAAAACTTTTTTTGTTTGTTTGTTTTGGATAGAGTAAGGGAGGGTTATAGCTCCTGGCCATTTTGTTTGGAAATGTGTGTACCATTGGCGAGATTTTCCTTCACTTCCTGTCTAATAGTCACAGCAGGAAGAGGAAATCCCTCCAACGTGAGGAAAATCCCTGGTGGTCATCATGATCATCAGAACTAGCGTTCCCATTAAAAGATTCCCATCTATTCCTTTTCTGATGATAACCCAACATTTGGGATTTTCTTTCCATTTTAGTGATAACAGTCACCAGAATAAATAGAGAATTAATCTCCATAATGAAGACAGACTTCAATAAAAACCTGACTGCTGTTCTAATCCCTCTTCACTTTATCTAAAACAAAAAAAAAAGGTTTCTGCTTTAGTTGCATTTTAAGAGTTGGTGAAAGGCTGCTTTAAGGTTGTCAAAGCCTCCCAGCAGTGTGTGTACTAATGACATTTATGGTGTGGATACCAAACATGGAAGATCTGCTTTTTAAGCTCTGCCCCCTCTCCCTTGCTAAAATGCTAAATTACTTTAAAAACATCTGTAAGATAAAAAGTTGAATAATATACCAGGACCGGTGGTCCTAGCAACTGATGACTGCAAAGGAGGTGGACACTTGACATCATTGGTTGCTAGGATGCCAGGGGTTACTAGAACTCCAGCGGTCCTAGCAACCAACGACAGAAGAGGAGGGGGCTTGTGCTTGGCTATGGCTTGCAGTGGATGCACTGGCCTTAAAGGCCAGCACATTCACTGTCAGCCAGCTATAGCTGAGCAGAGGTGCAGACCGTGGGCCAGACATGGACATCCAAAGGGCCGGATGTGGCCTGCGAGCCATAAAAATGCCCAGGTCTGCGTTAGAAGTATCAATTGGGATCCCTGAGCCCACAACACACCTCATGTTTATTTTAAACCTCCAGCAAACATTAGAACAATGGCTATACAGGCCAATAATACAATATGCTTCAAAACTGATTTTGTATAGTGGTGAAAGAATTAGGGCGCAAGACAGATAATGAGTACTATATATTAAGGTGACAATTTCACTAGCATGCCTTGCCATATTGAGTTTGTCGAAAAGGCAGGCTGGCTCCAAGTCATCATCCACAAGTGAAAAGATAATGTTATGTTCTTACTAGTAGTAAACTGCAAGACAATTTTGTCCCTTGGAGTCACTGCCCTGCTAAAGGAAGCCTTCAAAGTAAACTTCTGTCCTCTTCTCAGAATAAGGTGTGGATTGTCATAATCAGAGGTGTTGTGATTACAGGCATTCTGGTGCTTCATAAAGTCCACTTTAAGTGTTCTCAAAGCCATTTCTAGAAATAAAAATAAAACAAAAAACAATTACTTTGTTAATGATCCAGAAAGCCTACCTGGCATTGATCATCACAGTTCCAGGCATCAATTCCAAGCATTCAGTGACCTCCGACTACTATTCAGTAAGGGCTGCAAGCTCATGCTGAATTCTGGGTCATTTCCTGAAGATTAGGCACACACAGCTCCATAGAGGAAGCTAGGAATGTACTTCCTTAAGCCTGTGCTTCTTCTATGCCTACATTTAGCATGAGCAATCACATTCAAACTTCCTTGGTAAGTATAAATTTCATTAGTCTGTGAAAAAATTCTGTCTACTGACATTTTGTATTGTACATCTGGTTTTCTGTGAGTGAGCAAGTGCAGTTTATAATCACCAAATTACAGAAAGGAATTGGGTGGACTGGATGAAAAACTAACCTACTCAACAGTAGCTCTGGTTTGAGTTGAAACAGGTCCAAACTTGTATCTACGGAAGGAGCCATGGCAACCACCAAGGCTGGACTTTAAATATGTCTTCCTTTGTTTGCTTCCATCTCCATTTCATATGGAGTGACGGGATTAGTGGTTTACATAAGAAAGACAAGCATATTTTTGCTTCCAGTTCTTCTTATAGGAAGTAACAAAGCTATTGCATTTCTGGCAATTTCAACACAAAAAAAAAAAAGAGTGCAGCCACCACAGTTGAGAACCGGTAATCTGCAATATATTAAATTTTTGTTTTGGACTTTAGATATGTTTTAGGGGTACTTGTATTATACTTCTTAGAGGAACCCTTGAAATAACTTTCAAGTCTCAGGAAACCCCTGCTAAAAAGATTATGCCTACAGCTCATAGTACATGAATGATGTACTATGAGCGTGATGAATATGTTGTAGAAGGGTTTAAATACAGAAATAAAGTGGCGTACCTAGCGTATTTGACACCCGGGGCAGATCACTTTTGAATAGCCCTGCTCAATACAATAGACAGTAAAAATGGTGGTACCATACACGTTTTTGTTTTCCCTCGTTCAGCCCATGAGAAAACAAGAGAAAATCAATACACTCCTCCATCAACAATAAAAGACGGGGATCTTCAATGTCCGCTATTGTATTCAGGCTGCCTAAATACCCGAAAAATGACTGTATTTGATAGGCTGCAGTCACTGTTCAATCTATAATTTTCCATCCGACTTAGTCGATTTTTAAAATCAGCGTGAGTTCTGCCTGATTCAGCAGGAATTTGACAACATGTAAACCATCTATTTCTAACTCAACACTGGTGGTCAATGTAGAAGCAATCCCTTACCTTGGTGGTTAGTGGAAAACTTGCATTGGCGGTAAGTGTAGGTAGGAGATCAATCTGCTCACTGATTCCTGCTAAAGCAACCCCTAGCTATGTCAGGAGGAACCCTTGGGTTGCTCTACAGAATGCAAAATATACCCTCAAATGCCCTTGAATGCTAGCATAGTTAGGGGTGCCTTTATTGTGTATAGCTAATATAGTTAAGGGTGCCTTTATTGTTCATAGCTAGCATAGTTAGGGGTGCCTCTATTTCGTATAGGTAGCATAGTTAGGGGTGCCTCTATTGTGTATAGCTAGCATAGTTAGGGGTGCCTCTATTGTGTAGAGCTAATATAGTTAGGGGTGCCTTTAGCTAATATAGTTAGGGGTGCCTTTATTGTGTAGAGCTAATATAGTTAGGGGTGCCTTTAGCTAATATAGTTAGGGGTGCCTTTATTGTGTAGAGCTAATATAGTTAGGGGTGCCTTTAGCTAATATAGTTAGGGGTGCCTTTATTGTGTAGAGCTAATATAGTTAGAGTTGCCTTTATTGTGTTTTGCTAATATAATTAGGGGTGCCTTTATTGTGTAAAGCTAATATAGTTAGGGGTGCCTTTATTGTACATAGCTAATATAGTTAGGAGTGCCTTTATTGTGTATAGCTAATATAGTTAGTGGTGCCTGTATCATGCATAGCTAGCATAGTTAGGGTTGCCTTCATTGTGTATAGCTAATATAGTTAGTGGTGCTTTTATTCTGAATAGCTAGCATAGTTAGGGTTACCTTTATTGTGTATAGCTAACATAGTTGGGGGAGGGGGGTTATTGTGTATAGCTAGCATAGTTAGTGGGGCATTTATTGTGCATAGCTGGCATAGTTAGGGGTGCCTTTATCGTGCATAGCTAGCATTGTTAGGGGTGCCTTTATCGTGCACAGCTAGCATAGTTTGGGGTGCCTTTATCGTGCATAGCTAGCATTGTTAGGGGTGCCTTTATCATCCATAGCTAGCATAGTTAGGGGTGCCTTTATTGTGCATAGCTAGCATAGTTAGGGGTGCATTTATTGTGCATAGCTATTAGCTAGCATCGTTGGGGGTGCATTTATTGTGCATAGCTTGCATAGTTAGAGAGGCATTTATTGTGCATAGCTAGCATAGTTAGAGGGGCATTTATTGTGCATAGCCAGCATAGTTAGAGGGGCATTTATTGTGCATAGCTAGCATTGTTAGGGGTGCCTTTTTTGTGCATAGCTAGCATAGTTAGAGGGGCATTTATTGTGCATAGCCAGCATAGTTAGAGGGGCATTTATTGTGCATAGCTAGCATTGTTAGGGGTGCCTTTTTTGTGCATAGCTAGCATAGTTAGAGGGGCATTTATTGTGCATAGCTAGCATAGTTAGAGGGGCATTTATTGTGCATAGCTAGCATAGTTAGAGGGGCATTTATTGTGCATAGCTAGCATAGTTAGAGGGGCATTTATTGTGCATAGCTAGCATAGTTAGAGGGGCATTTATTGTGCATAGCTAGCATAGTGAGGGTTGGCTTTATATGATATAGCTAATGTAGTTAGAAGGGCTTTTGGTAGTGTGCAGACATTCAATATTACCATATTATGTAATTTACCGCAATTGTACTTGCACTCCCAAACATATGCAGACCAAACCAAAATTTGCATCTTGGCTGAACTTCCTGATGTCATCTGGGAAATGTATTTAAAAAATGTTCAGGCTGTTGGTTTTTATGTCAGTAGCACTACAGTGGAAATTGTCTATAAAACCTACTTTGTTGCAGAGGAAATGGTTTACCAACATTTGAGTGCTGACATGATGTGCACCCAGGTAAAATTTGGAATCCTAGGATCGTCTACCCCTTACCTGTCACTGAATCAATAAGCAGCCAGGCAACTAGCATTCTCAGCAGGAGGGCAGTAATATCAACCTCTGTGTATTTTCTTAGTATAGGTTTCCTTTAGTTAAATACAAGAAGATGCGTGCCTTACTGCTAGTTATTATGGGATTAACAAAATGTGTTTCTAGGGTGGGCTTATCATTAATAGAGCACACTGTACAGATATGCAGAATAATATGATAGATACAAATAGCAAAACTATACAAAACTGTAGAAATATACATTTGAAGAAGAGTAAATATGAACATGAATTCAGCATTTTTTCCTGACGCCTATATACTATTGCAAAGCATACCCTGTAAAGTAATTGTAAATATATACATACTGAACACACTCACTGCCAGTAATTGGATGACTTGTCTTCTTGTGTAAGTCACTTCGAGGTCTGCCCAGCAGTGCGAATGCTCCAGCCTATTTGTATTACATCTTGGGATCTGTCGTCACCCTTAATTTACCAATGAGGCAATATTTATCTGAAGTCAAGGAGGTAAACAATGCATCCAATATAATAAAAGAACAAGGAGCAATATATTGTGTGAAAGAGAACCTGTCAGGATACTAATATGTCTAAATAATGATGGCATCGTCCTTCTGGAAACAAACACAGATGACGGGCTTTGTTAGGGAAATTACCGTGTTTTCTGAGGTAATAAATACCTGGAAGTATTATTCGTACACATGATTTAGCATGCATGCACCTAACATGATAAAATATATCCAATGCTAGGTCCACATTGAGCCTGACTGTGAGCCTGTCATGCAGTGTGTGGAGCTCCTCACAGTAAGTTCTCCCTCTGCTCTTAGAGGACGATCGTTTTTTAGCACTTGCTCCTGGTCCCAGGTGGAGATGCAGGGCATGTGAATACATAGTCTGTGAACTGTCAGAGCACTTCTCTTGGTGCCACCGGAGTTCTGAGGGTAAGGGGGGAGGGGGGGAAGAGAGAGAGAGTGATCCTGGGTGCAATGCCATGAATTAAAGATCTTTGTACTGTCGGGAGTGTGCACTGTGCAGCTAAATCCTTATCAGATTTCTAGACCACCAGTTCAGCAGATAGTGAACCTCATGGACAGCACAGGGGTTTAACTGTTTGTTTCCCAGCTGCAGCAACAACTAATAAAGTTATACAGTGACTGCTACTTTAGTGACCATAATGGTTATTTATTCTACAGACAGGGCTTACTATGGGGCTTTTTTTCATGGAATATAAATATATATATTTCTTTAATACCATCCTACAGTTTACAGAATGAAAACTCCTCACGCCTTTTCTCATTTGCAGTGTCCCAGGCTTGAATGCTTAAAAGTAGGGAGGCACTAATACCGATATCTCTGCAGATACTGGGCATTTTCATGAGTACCCATACTTGTGAAAATGCCCCAATACTAAACACAGATACTGGTGTTCTATCAAGGTTTGTGACTACG